TATTTGGTTTATATAACCGCTTCATCATGTAGACCATGCATTTAGGATTCAACTTGATCTGTATAATTATATGTTGCTTTCATTCATAAAATCTTAAATTTTGTCATATCCTACTAGACATATTTCCAGTTTCAAGTTTTATTTGCCTTTATTGTTTGTTTGATTATAAATGCATTAGTTCTGCAGTTTATTATTATAATTAAAATTTATTTTAAAAGATTAAAATATATGAATTAGGCTGTTTAATTATCTGTTTATTATTTACATTCTTCTATAAAAATTATTTTTTTGTTTTCTTGTACAAATAATTAAATTACTCTGTTTCTTAGCAAATTGCAACTGTTCAAAATATTGCTCAGGCACAATATTGTGCTTTATGAATAAGAAATTAAAGTATGGTTACTAAAGGGTCGAAGTCGAAAAAGCCTCCTCCTGATACTCGTAAAAAGGTTATTTTAAATTATTTTGTGGGAACTCCACAAAGTCGACAGAAGGAGGCAGTTCGAAGCTAATGAAAGAATTACTAAAAGATTATGATATGCGTGCAGAGCTATATGAAACATCGCCTTGCCTAGCTATTAAAAAAACACTTAAAAAGGCAATAGAGGATGAACGACTCCTTACTAAAGTTAGTCGCTATTTATATTTAACCCCAGAAAGTTTATATTTGATCCTCAAGATAGGAAACAAGTAGAATATTGGGATGATGAAAAATTTATTAAGTACTTTAGTGGAGAAGTAGAAGAGCGTCCTCAATCAGCTAAGCGTAAAAAGCAAAGGCCAAAATCATTTAAGGATGAAAAACCTTTAGTCAAACTTCTTCCTTTGATAGAAGCCATTAGAGCCAAACGTTATCTAAATATCCATGAGATTTTAGTTTGGGACGTGCATTTAGAAGATTCGGATATGTATGCTTTGGTAATGTTTATGAATTATGTCTATTTGTGTTAAGGCTGGACTTCTCTCTAAATCAGTATACCAGATTTACAGGATTGAGTTACTTGATTGCTTTATAGACGCAAAATCTCTTTCAACATTTGCTCCTTCTGTTGCACTTTCAAAAACCTTGCGCGATCTGGTACTAGATTTTAATGGGTTAGTCTATTTTAATATCAGACTTTAGCTTTGGTGATAAGGGATGCAAAGTTCTATGCACTTACCTTCTAACTTGCAAGTGGCTTGTCCATCTTAGCCTATGCTTTTGCGACTTAGGAAAACAAAGTGGATTTTTTTTGGGAAATCTTATCGTGGAAACTCCGATAAGGTAATAAATTATCCTAGATATATATATATATATGGCTCTATTCTTGACTCCTTCTTCCTAAAATTTTAGGGAACTATATCTAGACGGTAATTCGCTTGAGGCTGAGGGTATTATTGCACTGACAAGCAATTTGGCTCTGGCAGCAGACAATGAAGCTTTTGAAAGACAAGAAGAAGCCAGACTTAAACTTGAAGCGGCTGAGCGGGCGGCTAAAGGTAAGTTTTTCTCTCATTTTCTG